GCTAACGGGATTCCCTATGGTCCCTTTGTACTTACACCATAATAAGCCCCCCGAAACTCTATTCTAATTATTCAGGCCTTTATTTGCATTGTGGAGAAAGCCCCCGGGTACGGTTTTTCGGGCTGACTATGGGGCCGAAACCTTTGCAAAGTCGGGGTGGTTTGAGGTTTTGGGGCAAAATCATCCTTGTTTGGGATGTTCCCCCTTATACTAACAGTCCTTAATGGGGATGTATCGTACCCCGCTATTTTCATCCCTACTAAGGAGCGTCAGTCTAAGGGGGAGCATCCCAAATCCCATTGTGTTCGTGGGCCTAAACCCTAAACCCTAAACCCTAAACCCTAAACCCTAAACCCTAAACCCCAAACCCCGCAGCTCATTTTGAGAGCCCTTCGCCAGCCCCCTCCATTTGCTTCACGGGTCGTGTCGCCATGCCTTCCGCCGTCGCCAACGCTGCCAGGGTCGGCGCCGGGCTCAGAAGACTCGGCCTTTCGTGGCTCTGAGCCCTAAACCCTAAACCCTAAACCCTAAACCCTAAACCCTAAACCCTAAACTCCCTAAGCCCCCAAACGGCCTGCACTGCCTGAACCTCAATCATGTGTTCTTTTAGGGCTTTGGAGGTGTCAGGACTTTGGGGCTCTAGGGGTGTTGAACCGGATGTTGTTTCTCCAAGAGTGTTAGGGCCAAACCCCGAACCCTAAACCCTTTAACCCTAAACCCTAAACCGCAGTTCTAGGTTCTAGCCATCTTTAGCCTTTCGGTGGGATGTTCGAACTTTGGGGAGCTAGTGGGGTGTTCATGAAGGCTTGGAGTTTCCAGCGGCTTTCAAAGTGCTAGGGCTGTGGAGGTCTAGGGTTTTGGGTTTAGGGGCTGTAAGCTGCTGGGGCCTTTAGGGCATGTTAGGGTTTAGGGTTGAGGGTTGAGGGTTTAGGGTTTAGGGTTTAGGGTTTAGGCTGTTTTTTTGGGGGGGGTTTAGGGTTTTAGGGCCCTGGTGCACTTGAGGTCCCTGTTGGCCTTGTGGACTGTAGGGTTGTAGCCCTAAACCCTAAACCCTAAACCCTAAACCCTAAACCCTAAACCCTAAACCCTAAACCTTAAACCCAAAACACCCTAAGTAGACCCTAGAGGTGGGCCCCTGATGAAAAGTGGTTTTGGCATCCCTGGGCCTTAAAAAAAGCCAGCCGGGGTCCTAAACCCGGCGTTATAGGTTTCAGAGCTCAGGGTTCAGGGTTTAGGGTTTAGGGTTTACGGTTTAGGGTTTAGGGTTTAGGGTTTAGGGCGTAGGGTATTCCCTACAGCCCCTAGAAGTCCTACAAGTCCTTTAAGTAGCCCGCTTAGCCCCCCGGGGCCGCGGTTTCGGAGGGGAGGGAGGGGGGATAAGGGCCGACACTTGGGATGTTCCCCCTTATACTAGCAGTCCTTCATAGGGACTTGTCGTACCCCCCTATAATAATCCCTAGACAGGAACCTACTTTCAGGGGGCTTAGAAGCACAGCTACCATTGGGGTTCTAGGTTTACTGAACCTCCAAGTAAACCTTCATGGGACCCTTTCGTCCTTAAAAGTCATCAGAAGATTCCTCCTTAAGATCCTATGAGGCTGTTTGCCAACTCCTCATACCAGACCCGACACTCAAACTCCTCCCAAATTTCCAAAAAAATCTTGAAGACCTAAAACCTTTAAACCCTGAAACCCCTCAACCCTGAAAACGCTAATTAAATCCTGAAACTCCTACACCCTGCAACCCTGAAATTGGAGACCCTCGACCTTGAAGCCCAAACCCTAACCCTAAACCCTAAACCCCAAACCCCAAACCCCAAACCCTAAACCCTAAACCCCAAACCTCCGGGAGCAAGGTCAACCCACAAACACCTGGTCGGAGGGAAGACCGGTGTACGATCTTGAGTATGCGGACGACACACTACTTATTTCTCTGACGCCTTGGAGGGCCAAGCCCGCCTGTATGGAATGGTTCTTTATTCAACCAAAATTTAACTTTTAATAGATCCCACAATCACGAACGCACCGCTGTACTTCGCTGATGGTTCATTGGTACCGACCACAACGCGCATTAAGTACCTAGGATCCATGATTACATGGCAGAAATCCTTCGAGGCAGCATTTCGTCATAGAAGGGGAGTAGCAGAAGAAGCGTACAAGAAACTTCGACTGGTATGGAACAGCCACTTACCACAACGCAAAAAACTAGAAGTTTTCCAGACGATACTGATCCCCACCCTAATCTACGGTTTAGAGGCCCTCACCCTGACTCAGAAAATCTCGAACAAGTGGACGCATGGTACTACAGATTCCTCAGAAGAATCATAGGTATCAAGGCATCGTATTACTCCAGAGTATCTAACGCTGAGGTCTACCACAAAGCAGGCTCTCCCAGAAAACCCTCAGACATGCTTAATAAGCTGCAGTACAAAACTCTCCAAGAAGTCTTCCTCCAGTCCCCCAGCGAACCGACCCACAGTGTAGTATTCTGGTCGGCGCATAAGGATAGAATGCAACACCAGGGTCGCAGAAAGGGCATGCAGTTTCCATACTGGATGGAAGTAACAACCAAAAGCTTCTTCACCGAAGTATGGAAGACTGACCACAACGCCCGAAACCCCAACCAGCAATACACCACAATTTACAAGATCCTGGCAGAATCGGCGCCAAAGCGCGCGCAGCAGGTGCGCGCAGGGCACAAGCAAACAATGCCCTAAACCCTAGACCTAAACCCTAAACCCTAAACCCCGAAACCCCTAAACCTCAACCCCCCTGAGATTTCGAGACCTCTAAGGTGCCGGGGCCTTCGCCGCTGCCTCCGCAGTGGCTTTCGTGGCGCCCGGCAGCCAGGCGCCAGTCACCAGTAGGTCTCCCAAACCCTAAACCCTAAACCCTAAACCCTAAACCCTAGAAACCCTAAAATCTCTAAACCCGAGAAACCCTAAACCCTAAACCCTAACCTGAAACCCCAAACCCTAAACGCCCAAGCCTAAACCCTGTCTCCCTAGAAACCCTAAACCCCAAACCCGAAACCCTAAAACCCCAAACCCCGAGCCCCGCAAACCCCACAACCCCTCCCACGCCCAGGTGCAGCGCCAGGCCCCGAAGACGAACCTCCGCGCCTCCGGCTACGGGTCCTCCTCCCAGGTGCCTTATTGTGGTTTCGTTTTTTTTTTTTTTGGGGGGGGGGTGGGTGTTACCCTAAACCCTAAACCCTAAACACTAAACACTGAACCCTAAACCCTAAACCCTAAACCCTAAACCCTAAACCTCTCCAGGGCTCCATGGGCGCCATGGCCGGGCTCGGCGCCGTGGCCGGCCTGGCCGCCGCCGGCGTGGCGGGCCAGCGCGCCAGCAAGGGCCGCACCTCCATGCGGCTCGGCCCCCTAAACCCTAAACCCCAAACTGTAAACCCTAAACCCTCAACCCTCAACCCTAAACCCTAAACCCTAAACCCTTAACCCTAATTCATCCCTAAACCCTGTAAGGTGTCCGCAGAAGGCTCCACACAAGAGGACCGCAAGATTGGTGGGATAGGCGGAGTCCTTGGGAATAAGTTTAGGGTTTAGGGTTTAGGGTTTAGGGTTAAAGGTCTATGGTTCGTGTACCCGAGTAGGGATTATAGTAGTATAGGATGTATGGTCCCAATTTTGGGTTTCATTTGGTCTCCAAGCTGCTGCAACCTTTGAAGGCCCAAGCCCTACAAAGTCCCCTGAAACCCACAACTCTACATGCTAAACCCTAAACCCCTAAACCCCTAAACCCCTAAACCCCTAAACCCTAATTAAACCCTAACCCTACACCCTAAACCGTAACCCCTAAACCCTAACCCCTAACCCCTAACCCCTAACCCCTAAACCCTAAACCCTAAACCCTACTAGCAAAGCCCAGGCAGGCCGTGGGCGTCGGCATCAACGGCTTCGGCCGCATCGGCCGCCAGGTCGCGCGCATCGCCATGAAGGCCACGTCATGGGGTTTAGGGTTTGGGGTTTGGGGTTTGGGGTTTAGGGTTTAGGTTTTAGGGTTTAGGGTTATATGGGTTTAGGGTTTAATTAGGGCTTAGGGCTTAGGGTTTTGTGTTTTGAGGGTTGCAGGGCTTTTCGGATTTAAGAGGTTCAAAGGTTTGTGAGGTTGTGTAGTTGCTGTTGTTGGATTTAGGGGGTCTGGCATGTGTTTAGAACATATATTTTTCAAGGAGGGTTAGCATGTTGGCTTTAGGGATTTGCAGGGTTTCAGGGTTTAGGGGGGTGTAGGGTTGTAGGAATAGTGCTCACCTTGTGATTTGGAGGTTTCTGGCAAGCGACCAATCGATGGTCAAAAGTCGCAGCCTGGATGGAAGGCGAAACGGGGAACTCGAGGCCAAAAACGACCGATATGGTGGCAGAACAAGCTACGAAGCCAGCTTTGCTTCAGAGCCTGGATCAGCTTATTGTCCCTAGACCCTCAAACCCTGAAACCCTAAATCTCCTAAACCCTAAGCCCCAAACCCTAAACCCTAAAACTCAACCGCCCAAAAATCCCCAAAACCCTGAACCTCTCAGAGCCTCAGGAGGAAGCCCCAGCGCCCAAAGACCTGCTGGCCACGTGGGGTTTAGGGTTTCGGGTTTGTAGGATTTCGGGTTTCGGGTTTAGGGTCTAGGGTTTTGGGTCTAGGGTTTAGAGTCTATAGGGCTTAGGGTTTCGGGTTTCGGGCTTTAAAGGTGCAAGCCGGTCAGGGTCTGTTGGAAGATGTGTGATCGGCATCTCTCCTCTTGGGTGACAGAGACACTGCTTAGGAAGTCGTAAAATATTGTGCGGATGCTGTAAAGGACCGGCTAAACCCTATCAACCCCTGAATCCTAAAAACCTAAAAAACCCCATAAACCAACCCACAAACCCTAATTAAACCCTAAACCCTATAAACCCTAAACCTTCAGAGGAAACAAACAAGAGCCGCGGCAGGACCCTGAGACGGATCTGAAGCTCATCAATGCAAGCTACGATGCGGACTACCTGGCCTACATGATGAAGTGACCCCCTAGGATCAAGCCCTAAACCGTAAACCCTAAGCCCTAGGCCCTAAACCCTAAGCCCTAAACCCTAAGCCCTAAACTCTAAACCCTAAACCGAAGTGAGTGACCGACCAGGGGTGTTCAGGGTTGAGGGCTTGAGAGGCAACCCAGGACCAAGAAAGGAAGAGGGTTTAGGGTTTAGGGTTTAGGGTTTAGGGTTAAGTTGGAGGATGCAGCTGCCATCCTCCCAAAGACCCCTCAAGTCTAGACACAAAGCCCTGACCTGCACCCTAGGGTTCAGGGTTTAGGGTTTAGGGTTTAGGGTTTAGGGTTTAGGGTTCAGGGTCAAAACCTCTAAACCTAAGCTCCTCAGCACGGAGCCCTTAACTCCCAACGCTCTAAACCCTACGTAGATCCAAAAGCTTCAGCCCAGCCCAGAGCGACTTCAACACGTTCACTCAGAATCGAGGGCTTAGGTGCAACATGGGTTTAGGGTGTAGAGTTAGGGTTGAGGGTTTAGGGTTAAGGGTTTAGGGTTTAGGGTTTGAGGGTACCCGGTCTAGACCCCAATATGACTTTTTCACCCCCCTGTGTGGGGCGCCCCCGACTTTTGTAATCGAATACGGGAAAGCCCCATATGCTGCAGATCCCTTAAAGACCGTGAACGCATGCTAAAAGCCTAAACCCTAAACCCTACAGGTTTGTGCTCACACGCACGGGAATTCAGCTCATGTCGCTTTCAGGGACTGGTGCGTGGAGCGTCGGAGTACTTCGACCGGTCAGCCCTGGATAGCGCCGAGGCTCGACCACGCAGCACGAAGGTCTGCATGATTTGGGCGTCACTGACAGGCATGGGCAGACTGGTTTAGGGTTTAGGGTTTAGGGTTTAGGGTTTAGGGTTTAGGAGGAGAAGGCTTCACCTCTGTGGTCGGCCCGGTCTGCAGTGGGCCCGCCTCGATGGCACGGTGGACTCACGCCCTAAACCCTAAACCCTAAACCCTAAAACCCTAAACCCTAAACCCTAAAACCCTAAACCCTACACCCTAAACCCGCCAGCTTCCATCTTGGCGGTCCGGAATGGCAAGACGATGCCAACGGCAACTTGAAAACACTAGGGAAAGGTGGGATACGGTCCCTGCGCGTCCCTTCCATGCTTCTGATGCTCATGTTGCTTCGAGTCGAACAGAGCGAGGCTCCAGACAACGGAATAGATGTCCACACAGAGTTGCTGCCTGCGCTTGCCCTTATTCCCCTTTTTGGGGTTCTGGTTCCTTTACAAGAAAAAAGGGCACCCATTTTATCCCTAGGCCCTTCTGTTCTCCTAGGTTACTCTTGTGTCTACAGAAGGGAGGAGGGGAGGAGTGGAGGGTTGGACTCAGCAGTCCGGAAAGCGCTTGCGAGTCCAAGAAAGAGCAGCAAACGACCCTAAACGTAGACCCTAAACCCCAGGGTTTAGGGTATAGGGTGTAGGATTTAGGTCTAGACCTTAGACCCTAAACCCTAAACCCTCAACCGCAACAATTTGTCGTCGCCGTAGCATTCTTCGTCTTATTACTTGTTCTTTTGATTGTTGATAGAACTGTTCTTGTGAAATATACCTCGACAGTAGCGCGTACAACGTGTGCGAGGCAAGTTGCCTTCGAAGGGGCCCCTTTGAGTCAAGCCAAGCGGCTGAGCGGAAGATAGACCAGCCTCCGCAGTGTTCGCTACGTTGTGGTTGCTGTGGGTGTTTTTTCCTGTTATTTCTTATTTGCAGAATCAGTATCAGTATTTGTATAGGTATGCCGATTAGTTTCGATTAGGATTACAAGTACTAGAATTCGTATTAAATTTGATAATGGTCATAGCAAGACCTTCAAATAACAGCACGTGTGGAACTAAAAGATACACCCGACCATCATGTGAATCATCCTAAATCCTAAACCCTAAACCCTAAACCTAAACCCTAAACCCTAAATCCTAAATCCTAAACCCTAGACCCTAGACCCTAAACCCTAAACCCTAAACCCTAAACCCTACACCCTAAACCCTAAACCCTAAACCCTAAACCCTAAACCCTAAACCCTAAACCCTAAACCCTAAACCCTAAACCCTAAACCCTAAACCCTAAACCCTAAACCCTAAACCCTCAAACCTCAACCCTAAACCCTAAACCCTAAACCCTAAACCCTAAACCCTAAACCCTAAACCCTAAACCCTAAACCCTAAACCCTAAACCCTAAACCGAATTCGAGGTACGACACGATCCACGGAAAGTATGACGGAACCGTGGAGGTCGATGGCGACTCGCTGGTGATCGACGGGCAGAAGGCAGATTTTTCTCCCTCAGAGCAGGGGTTTAGGGTTTAGGGTTCAGGGTTCAGGGTTTAGGGTTTAGGGTTTAGAGTTTAGGGTTAAGGGTTTAGGGTTTAAGGCAGATTCCCCCCCCCCCTCCCCACCCCACCCCCTCACTGTCGTGGTTTTCTGAACGATTCCGGGTTTAGGGTTTTGGGCTTTGGGTTTAGGATTTCGGGCTTCTGAATCACCTCCCCCACTGTCGTGGTTTTCTGGTTGATTCAGGGTTTTTGGGGTTAGGGTCGGTTTGAGGCTTCGCGAGTCTGATTCCCAAGTTGATGCCTTCTTTGTCCCACAGGCTGGCCCATGTTGTACCCATGCAGGCCAGGGAGTATCTACTCTTATGAACCCCCAACAAATGTAAACAAATATTCTGTTTAGTAAGGGTTCTGGAGGAATTAATTTCTTGTTTTAACGCCAGGGTTGAGTTAGGGTTCAGGGTTCAGGGCTCCGGGTTTAGGGTTTGGGGTTGCAGGGTTAGGTCTTAGGGCTTAGGGCTTAGGGGTTCAGACCTTGGTGGTTTGGTGTTCAGGGCTCAACTAGGGTTCAAGCTGCATGTAATGTATAGGGTTTAGGGTTTAGGGTTTAGGGTTTAGGGTTTAGGGTTTAGGGTTTAGGGAACATCAGCTCAGTCCAGGTGGCTTTGTCTCACACCCGCGACCCAGCCGAGATCCCTTTTGGAGAGCAGCTGGTCTTTCAACAGGGTTTAGGGTTTAGGGTTTAGGGTTTAGGGTTTAGGGTTTAGGGTTTAGGGTTTAGGGTTTAGGGTTTAGGGTTTAGGGTTTCGGAAGTAAGCCCTGAACCCTAAACCCAAGATCCTAAGCCCGAAGCCCGGTGGAGCTTTCGGGGGCTTTGGGCTTTTAGGTGCTCTTAGGGCTGTTTGACGGATTTTATGGGGTCTTAATGTTTTGCAGACTCCCAAACCACCAATCCCAAAAGAAGTCCCAAGCCCCCCCCAGGGCCCCACCCGCACCCTAACCCTAGGCCCTTAGCCTGAGAGTTTAGGGTTTAGGGTTTAGGGTTTAGGGTCCAGGGTTTAGGGTTTAGGGTTTAGGGTTTAGGTTTCACCTTACGAGCCTCGATGTAGCTCCAGAAGTTCATAAAACTCGCACCTTGCAAGCCATCGAGTGTTTTAGGGCTTGGATTTGCGGTGTAGGGTTTACAGCAAGGTTTAGGGCTTAAACCCTAAACCCTAAACCCTCAGCCAAAAAATCTTTTGGCTCTCTGACCCAAGGCACGGTGCGGAGTACGTGTGCGAGTCCACTGGCGTCTTCCTGACTACCGACAAGGCGTGCGAACGGGGGACACTATTGGTGTGAAGGGTTTAGGACTTAGGGTTTAGGGTTTAGGGCTAGGGTTTAGGGTTTAGGGTTTAGGGTTTAGGGTTTTGGATTTAGGACTTAGGGCATTAGGTTTAGGCTCCGTGAAGTCAACGCTTTAACGTTTGCAGGGGATCGCAGGGTTTAGGGTTTAGGGTTTCGAGTTTAGGGTTTAGGGTTTAATGTTAACGTCGCTTTAATAACCCCCCCCCCCCCAAATCTTGTTTTGGTCCCCGGGGTTTGGACGGGTCACAAAAAAGAGAGGGTGTCAATAATGAGGATTCTGGGGTCTGGGGTCTGCGGTCTGGGGGTCTAAAGGTTTTAAGTAAGGAAACCTGGCTTTGAGATCTCTGGCGGCTTCCTGAATTCCAGGACCCGAAGGCTGAAGTCTTAAGCTTCAGGGATTCTTGCCTTGAGACTTGGACCAGGACCCGAAGCCTGAAGTCTTGAGCTTAAGGGTTCTTGTCTTGAGACTTAAAGGCAGCCATTTAAACTTGAGGCTTCCTTGGTTCCCCCCCTCCCCCCCTCGCCGAAATTATTATTGCCACCCATTTACTATTGTCATTTTGGAGACCCATAAGGGGCACCCTTTCCGGACTTGTTTTCGAGCCCCGGCGGAAAAGGATTTTAGTAAAGAAACCTTGCTTTCAGACCTCTGGCGGTTTCCTGAATTCCAAGACCCGAAGGCTGAAGTCTTCAACTTCAGGGGCTCTTATCTGAAGCCTTAGAGGAACACCTGCTCCTCTGAAGCAAGAGGCCTGAAGCAGCAGTTTCTCGCAGCTCTGGAGCTGCAGCAATCTCAAGAGGCACCTGCTCCTCTGAAGCAAGAGGCCTGAAGCAGCAGTTTCTCGCAGCTCTGGAGCTGCAGCAATCTCAAGAGGCACCTGCTTCTCTGAAGAAGCAGGCCTGAAGCAGCAGTTTCTCGCAGCTCTGGAGCTGCAGCAATCTCAAGAGGCACCTGCTTCTCTGAAGAAGCAGGCCTGAAGCAACAGTTTCTCGCAGTTCTGGAGCTGCAGCAATCTCACAAGACAAGCAATCTCAAACGAGATCTGCTTCTTTAGAGCCTCGGAGCTCGAAAAGTATTCTCTGCAAGTAAAATTTCGGATTCCTGGCCGGCCAAACATTACTGTTGTCACCCCATTATTATTTTCACCGGACCCCCCTATATGGACTTGTTTACACACATCGGCCCGAAAACCTCCCGTAATGGAAAGTAGTCTTCGGCTGAGCCCCTCTGGCCCGGCGAATATTACAGTTGCCACCCCATTTATAGATGTGACGTTAACATTAGTGTTTAGTAAGCTTGATGGGGTTGAGAGGGCTGTGTAGGGTTTAGAGGGTTCCGGGCTCCTAAGTTAGGGCGCCACACTGGGCACCGGGACCCTAAACCTGTTTGACTAGGGCCCATAGCTTTACGATCAGCCTCTCATATGCACGGTTGGCCTGCGGTTGTCGAATTTGGGATGTCTTTTGTTTTGCTTATGCGTTTGGGGTGTAGGGTAGGTTTAGGGGGTTTCTAGGGTTTGGGCTTGGGTTTAAGCATTTTGGGGTTGCAGGGTTGGGGTGCGCCCAAACTTTGTTGCCCTTGAAGGGGCGACCTGCCCAGCGGACTGGATACGACATAGCTAAGCCCAAATCGCTCTCCACCCTAAATCCGAACAAGAACTAAAAGCAGCCTTTCGCCCTTACAACCCTAAACCCTAAAACCTGAACCCTGAACCCTAAAATCACCCAACACAAAAAAAGAACCAACAAAAACCCTGATTCCTCAACCCCCTGCAGGCCCCCTGTGTCTCACCAAGCAGCTGCACCCTCACCCTAAACCCTAAACCCTAAACCCTAAACCCTAAACCCTAAACCCTAAACCCTAAACCTTAAACCCTAAATCACCAAGCAGGTGCAGCCTCACCTGAAGGCGGGCGCCAAGAAGGTGATCTTCTCCGCCCCCGCCAAGGACCGACCTTCAAGCTGAATCACGTTGAGGGAGCAGGGTTTAGGGTTTATAGGGTTTAGGGTTTAATTAGGGTTTAGGGTTTAGGGTTTAGGGTTTAGGGTTTAAGGGTTTGGGGTGTGGGGTTTGGGGTTTAGGGTTAGGGTGTGTGTTGTTCAACAACTGGGTCGCAGTACCCTAAAACCCTACATGGCGCTAAATCCTGAATGCATGCCTATTGTTCATCTGAAGCCAGTCCTAAACCCTAAATCCTAAACCCTAAGCCCTAAACCGTAAACCCTAAACCCTAAACCGTAAACCCTAAACCCTGATTTTGAACAGCATGAACCTTTCCAGTTTCGAGCCTACGGGTTGAACAGGTTTTAGGGCTTTGGGTTTTGGGCTTAATGGTGTCCTTAGCCGGTCCTTAGCTCAGTAGGGTTTAGGGTTTGGGGTTTAGGGTTTAGGGTTTGGGTTTAGTTTGTGTTCCGGGTGCTGTTCGAAATCTGGGGTTTAGTGCCCTGAACCCCAAACCCTAAACCCTAAACTCTAAACTTTGGATGCTCTGGGGTTACCAGCTCTCCAGCACCTTCCCGCTTCGAGGGTGGTAGGCAAGACCGAGTCATTCTCATGCGCCCGGCGAAGGTGCTCATCGCCGCAGGGCTTGTCGCGGCAGACCAACTCTACCAAGTCAATCGCGCTCTCTACGGGCTACATCAAAGCCCCAGAGACTGGATAATAACTCGTGACGCCAAGTTGAAACGCCTCACCTGGAAGCTCAAGGGCGAGGGTAGATGCTTGAGACAGGCGCAGACTGACTGTTAATCGGGTTGATATGTCGGCAGACCCAAGAAGGCCATGGGTTTAGGGTTTAGGGTTTAGGGTTTAGGGTTTAGGGTTTAGGGTTTAGGGTTTAGGGATACCAGTGAACCTGTAGGGCTCTTGGGAGCCTATGTGGACGATTTGCTTCTATCGGGTAGTCCAGAAGAAGCCGAAGCCCTCCTTGAAGCCATAAAAGGCGTCTGGTTCGACATCGTCGCCTCCGAAACGGTTTAGGGCTTAGGGTTTAGGGTTTATAGGGTTTAGGGTTCAGGGTTTAGGGTTCAGGGTTCAGGGTTTAGGGTTTAGGCGGTTTAGGGTTTAGGGTGAGTTTGAGGTTCTGAGGGAGTAATTTAGACTTGTACCCCCAGGGTTGCACCCCTAATGGCTGCCCTTAATGTACCCATAATGTGGCCCTTGTATTGCCTTAGAGGATCTTCTGAAAGGGCCCCCAAACCCATGGGTACCACGCTAGGGGTCCGAGGTAGAGTTCCAAAGATGGCATCGTATCTTCAGAGGACCATCAATGTCTGCTGGAGTTCGGCCAATTCTCACTCCTTGCCCCCCCCACCCCCCTTTGCCTCCACTCCCCGCGCAGGACGACTCGCACACCATCGTCATGGGCGTGAACGAGGACCACGGGCCTCTAGTTCTATGTCTCCGGTGCATCATGGTCCACCCACAAACTAAACCCTAAACCCTAAGCCCTAAACCCTAAACCCTAAACCCTCAACCCTCAACCCTCAACCCTGAACCCTGAACCCTAAACCCTGAACCCTAAACCCTGAACCCTAAACCCTAAACCCAAAACCCTAAACCCTAAACCCTAAACCCTAAACCCTAAACCTTACACACGAAAGCCTTTTCAGCCCTCGGGAGCTGTGTACGTCCTTAAACCCTAAACCCTAAACAATAAACCCTAAACCCTAAACCCTAACCCTAAACCCTAAACCCTAAACCCCATATCCCACAAGTCCCTGCACCCTAAAACCCCCAAACCGCGAGACCCCGAAAAGCTCCTAGAAAACAACCCGAAACCCTAAACTCCCTAAACCCTATAGTGAAGCACCTTATGCCCCGGAGAAGAGGAACCTTCAGCCCCAAACCCTTAGTCCTAAACTAGCCCTAAACCCGAAATCCTAAACCCTAAACCCTAAACCCTAAACCCTAAACCCGAAACCCGAAAGGACACCTACGACCCCTCCATGGAGTGCGTGTCCTGCGCCTCCTGCACCACCAACGGCCTCGCCCCCGCGGTGCGCGTGCTTCATGAGAAGAGCCTCGGTGGAAGGGTTTAGGGTTTAGGGTTTAGGGTTTAGGGTGTAGGGTTTAGGGTTTGGGGTTTGGGGTTTAGGGTTTAGGGTGGAAGGTGTGCGTTTTCAGTGTTTAATTTGCACAGGTGTGCTCTCCCGAAGCTTCCCATAAGAACGGCACGATTTAGGGGCCTTGATCATTAGAATAGGGACTTGGGGGGATGCTGTAAGCATACTTAGATAGGGACTACGAGGGAATAGCATTGGTACCCTAAACCCTAAACCCTGAACCCCTAAACCCCTGACAATGCAGGGTGCATAGGCCATTACTGTGGGATCTTTGTGCATCATCCCTAGCAGGGCCCCGAAACCTGCAACTCAAATGCACAAAACCCCCAATCCGTGAACCCTGCAGAGGGTTTAGGGTTTGGGGTTTAGGGGTGAGGGTTTAGGGTTTTGGGTTATTTCTATTTGAGAAGGTTCGGCATCAAGCGTGGCCTGATGACCACCTGCCACGCCATGACCGCCTCCCAGCCCACCGTCGATGGCACCTCCAAGAAGGATCTCCTTGGGTTTAGGGTTTAGGATTTAGGATTTAGGGTTCAAGGGTTTAGGGTTCAAGGGTTTAGGGATTGGGGTTTAGGGCGTTGGTTTAGGGTTTTAGGGGCTTGGGGGCTTGGGGGTTTGGGGGTTGCAGGCTTCAAGGGTTTGGATCCAAATTTTCGGTTTGGCCGGGGCTCGCCCACAGCTTGCATCTAGGGCTTCGGAAGGTCCATGTCATGGGTTTGTTCGGGCGTAGGGTCTATTGGTCTACTGGGGGTCTGGAGCTTAAGAAAGGGTAAGATTGCTTTAAACCCTTAACCCTACACCCTAAGCCCGAAAGGACAGGGAGTTTTTTGGGCTTGCGCAGGGTTTGCAATGCAGTGGCCCTACATGCTAATATAATCTTCTGAGAGCTGCCAGTTCACCACCAATGCATTAGGGTTTGGGTTTAGGGTTTAGGGTTTAGGGTTTAGGGTTTAGGGTTTAGGGTTTAGGGTTTAGGGTTTAGGGTTTAGGGTTTAGGGATTAGGGTTTAGGGTTTAGGGTTTAGGGTTTAGGGTTTAGGGTTTAGGGTTTAGGCAACATGCAAAGCCGTATAAACCCTCATCTCCTGCGCCTCCGCCGCTTTCGCTGAGGAGTTTGGGGGTTTTGGGTTGAGGGTTTAACATTGAGGGTTTAGGATTTAGGGGTTAACGTTCAGGGTTTATGGTCTGGGGCGGATGAGGGTTGAGGGTTTAGGGCGAGTAGGGTTGAGGGTGTAGAAACCCCAAAAAACGCTTCAACCATCAAGCCTCCAGTGCGTTTTCGTTCATGTTTTTTTTGTGTTAGTGAACCCTAATCCTAAAAACCCTAAACCCTAAACCCTAAACCCTAAACCCTAAACCCTAAACCCTAAACCCTAAACCCTAAACCCTAAACCCTAAACCCTAAAACGCTAAACCCTAAACCCTAAACCCTAAACCCTAAACCCTAAACCCTAAACCCTAAACCCTAAACCCTAAACCCTAAACCCTAAACCCTAAACCAGACCAACTGAGGACCCTTGTAGAGTTCTGCGTTCCTGCCTGGAAGGACTGGCGCGGCGGCCGTGCGGGTCCAGGCAATTTGACCCGAAAGCCAGAAGAAGTTCGAGCACAACACTCTATTAAAGGAAGGGCGGAGCCCCAAACCCTAAACCCCAAACCCCAAACCCCAAACCCCAAACCCTAAACCCTAAACCCTAAACCCCAAACCCTAAACCCTAAACCCTAAACCCTAAACCCTAAACCCTAAACCCTAAGCCTGGCGGGATTGCGACCATCGATGGGACCCCGAACCCGATGTTCGTAGCCTCAGCCCTGATGTGCGCTACACCCCAAAGCCCAAGGCACCCGGAGCCGCTTAGGGTTTAGGGTTTAGGGTTTAGGGTTTAGGGTTTAGGGTTTAGGGTTTAGGGTTTAGGGTTTGGGGTTTAGGGTTTAGGGTTTAGCGTTCAGGGTTTAGCGTTCAGGGTTTGGGGTTTCGGTTTTAGAAATGAAGCCCGAAAAAAAGCCTGTAAACCCTAAACTCCGCACACCTGGAGCGCAGGCAACATCATCCCTTCCTCCACGGGCGCCGCCAAGGCTGTCGCGAAGGTCATCCCGGACGTCAAGGCGCTTCCTTTTGTGGCTTAAAGTGTTCAGGGTGTTTGGGGGTCGCATGTCAGGGTTGAGAGTACATTGGCACAGAGTACCCTAAACCCTAAACCCTAAACCCTAAACCCTAAACCCTGGCTTTATAAGGATCTTTAGGCACGTAGGGTTTGTACGGGGCTTCAGTTGAAAAGATTGGGTTTGGGTTTTCATGGCCAACCCTAAACCCGAAACCCTAAACCCTGATCCCTACCCCTAAAGCCTAAACCCTGTTTATATAAGACCCTGCACCTGAAACGCGGGAGTCTGAGCCGTACGCTCCAACCGTTTGGTAGGTATTCGGGAATGAGGGGGTTAGGATATGGGGATACTGGGGGGCTAAACCCCAAACCCTAAACTTAAACCCTGAACCCTAAACCCTAAATCCTAAAAACTCTTCCTCGGACCCCTAAGGTTGTGCGCCTTGGCTTTGGGGACCCCTTCTCAAGATTCCTATAAAAGGGAATAGAAGGGCCACACTCGGAGTAGATCCTAAACCCTAAACCCTAAACCTTAAGCCCTAAACCCTAAACCCTAAACCCTAAAACCTAAACAAACAGGTACAACCTTGGGGGTACGAGTCCTAATCCCTTGAATTATGCTTTGATTCACTCCAAAGTATGGGCCCCTTTGTTTGTATGGAGTATACAGCGGGGTATATACCGGGTCCCCCTTTTAAGTGCTACCCTAAACCCTTAACCCCCCTAAACCCTAAACCCTGAACCCTAAACCCGAAACCGACCCTAAACCCTAAACCCTGACAGCACGGCCAGGGCAAGCTGACCGGCATGGCCCTGCGTGTGCCCACCATCGATGTCTCCGTGGTGGACCTCACCGTGGAGCTGGAGAAGGACCCTCGACACCGCAAAGCCCGAAAAGCCTCAAAACCCTAGGGGGTTTCGGGTTTGGGGTTTGGGGTTTAGAATTATAGGGTTTAAGTTAAAGTTTAAGGGCTTAGGGCCACTGCAGATTTTGGTTCTTGAGGCTTTTCGGGCTTGTGAGGGTTGTCAGAGTCTTTAGAGCTTTTGTAGGTTTTTGCAGTTTTTTTTGTGTTCAGGGCTTTAGGGTCCTTTAAGGGTTTTTTAAGGATTCTGTGTTGTAGGACTAAACTCCCCAGTGGCCCAAACCCTAACTTAAATTCGTGGCTTCCATAGATTCCTTTCTGTCGAGTCACCTACCTCGAATTGCAGCCTCCTGAGCATCTTAGAGCAGAAGCTTCCCAAACCCCAAAACCCTAAACCCTAAACCCAAAACCCAAAACCTTAATTTAAGAAGACTCTTAAAGGTTTGTCGTTTTTAGGGCCATCTTTGTGGCCCGCCACTCAGAACGCTTGTGGCAACTCAGACCCCTGGCTAGGACTGGGAGTTTAGGTCCCCAGCCCCACGCAATACAGTGTTTAGGGTTTAGGGTTGAGGGGTTGAGGGGTTGAGGGGTTTAGGGTTGAGAGCTCAGGGTTTACCCTGAACCCTGAACCCTAAACCCTAAACCCTAAACCCTAAACCCTAAACCCTAATCGTCAAAGCGTTAAGGGGTCTGGGGCACACCTCGAGTCTGAGACGTGATGGGCTTCGGTGGTCGCGAGATCGCAGTTTGCCCCTGAGTCTCAGCATTGCTTTCAGAGTTTAGGGTTGAGGGTTTGGAGTTTAGGGTTTAGGGTTTAGGGTTTAGGGTTTAGGGTTTAGGGTCCCCGAATGGGTTCGAGAGTTCAAGCCATGGCTCTGGGCAAGGAGACCACCTACGAGGAGATCTGCGCAGAGATGAAGCCATCTAGCTGCATGTCGTTGGGGGGTTGGGGTTTCGGGTTTAGGGTTTAGGGTTTAGGGCTTAGGGTTTAGGGTTTAGGGTTTAGGGTTTACGGTCTTGGTAGCCCGGTGGTACCCGTTTCCATCCTCTTGGTTCAAGGGCCCCGTTTTAAGCAGCCAACCCCAAAAAAGTACCCTCATCACAATATGGTTACTGGGCTAGCAGGAGGGTTTAGGGTTTCGGGTTTAGGCCCTACACCTTAAGCCTCAATTTTACACCACTCCATTCTACATTGCGTCAGCAGCTTGTATCGCACCGTCCAGGCGTAATCTCTTAGGATGCACTGTCCAATGCTTAGGGTTCAGGGTTTAGGTTTCAGGCCTCGTGCTTAGGGTTCGCGTTTCGGAATTTAGTTGAGTTGATAGTGCTAGGGGTTTGGGGATTGTGGGCTGAGTGTTTCAGGCTGTGGTGTTAGGGTTTTGGCTGAGGTCTTCGGGGTTTATGGGGTTTGGTAGTTTCCGGGTGTCGGGCTTTTGCGGTTCGTTGCTTCCTGGTCTTCGTGGTTGCTGGGCGTTCTGTTTGGCTTCGGGGCTGCCAGGCCCATTCGGGGGGAGCGATGCCAACATCTTGGCTGTAGTTGAGGGGGTCAGGTATTTTGCCAGACGTGGTTGTTCCCCTCGACCCTGCCCTAACCCTGAACCCTAAACTCTACACCCTAACCGTACGTCACTCTTCAGCCCAACAATGACTTGGGGTCGTGGCACCGGGTGGCTGGGTGGTGCATTACCCAAGTCAAGGACGGGACACGCTCCAATGTCTTCGCACACGCAAGGCCATCATAGTGTGATACAGTGTATTCGGCAGTGCTGAAGCGCACGATTCACGGCCAAGAGCCTTTGGGCTTTACAGAAAAATGCCTGGTAAAGCCAAAACCCTACAAACCCTAAGCCTAAACAAAATTAACCCTAAACCCTAAACCCTAAACCCTAAACCCTAAACCCCTAGAAGCCGCCAAGCACAGACTCCGAGGAAACGCTCCGAGGGTGACATGAAGGGCTACCTGGGCTACACAGATGAGGCGCCAAGGAGTTAGTGTTTAGGGTCTAGGGTATGAGACCTCCCTTTTTGGTGGGTTTTGCGTTCAGGGCTTATGATTTGGGAAAACACAGCGACTTAAGCCCTCCCAAAATCTTAACATCCTTCGTAAACCCATAGAACCCTTGGCCCTAAATAAGCGCCCCAAAACTCCCCAAACCTCCGGATCCGATAACCGTTAAACCCCATAACCCCGCCTGAACGCGAAACCCTAAACCCTAAACCCTAAACCCTAAACCCTAAACCCTAAACCCTAAACCCTAAACCCTAAACCCTAAACCCTAAACCCTAAACCCTAAACCCTAAGTGCAGGCCTTGGTGTCCACTGACTTCGAGACCTGCCCCATCTCCTGCACCTTCGACTCCAAGGCATCGGACGAGCGTTGACCGGGCTCTTGTTTAGGAGCTTAAAGGTAGGGTTTAGGGCTTAGGGCTTAGGGCTTAGGGCTTAGGGTTTAGGGTTTAGGGTTTAGGGTTTAGGGTTTAGGGTTTAGGGTTTAGGGTTTAGGGTTTAGGGTTTAGGGTTTAGGGTTTAGGAGGTTTGGGGTTTAGGTCTGTGGTGTATGGCTTCGGGTAGCAGCTACCCAAATTATGAGCACACTGTATCCCTAACAAGCACTCAGTTGAGAGTGCAGTGAGGCTGTTTAGGGTTCTGGGTTTAGGGGTTCTGGGTTTAGGGTTTGGGTTGTGGGTGTAAGGGTCCACGATGCCTCTGCTGCTACGGCTTGAGGGTTCTGCAGGGTTTCAGGGCTTTCGGCTGTGTAGGCTTCAGGCTGCTAGCCCCAAACCCTAAACCCCAACCCCTGTACCCTAAACCCTAAACCCTAAACCCCAAGTCCCGCCGCAGCCCGCTGACCCCCAAGCCTCTTAGGTCTCATGCATCTTTACTGGACGACCCCAGGACTAGGGTTTAGGGTTTGGGGTTTGGGGTTTAGGGTTTAGGGTTTAGTGTTTAGGGTTTAGGGTTTAGGGTTTGGGTGCCAGGCTGGCATCATGCTCGACCCTACCTTCGTGAAGGTGGTGTGCTGGTATGCCCCCTGGTCTCGAAAGCCTCTTTAACCTAGGGTTTAGGGTTTAGGGTTTAGTAACCCCTGCAAGGCTCAAACCTGTAAGCCCCGCACACCCTAATCGCCTAAACCGGAACAACCACCATGAGCCTAAACCCCAAAACCCTAAACCCTAAGCCTAAAGCCAACCCTAAACCCTAACCCTAGACCCTGACCCCCCCCAAAAGCCCTTTCTGGGAGGCCTTGGCCTGTAAGTTATCATCCCGCGGTGGAGGGGGGGGTGCAGAATCCCTAAACCCTGAACTTTATCTAAGCCCTGTAGGGTTTAGGGGTTTAGGGTGTAGGGTGTAGGGTTTAGGGTTTAGAAGAGTGTCCTAAGCCGCTTAGGCGCATGGGCTGTGTGAACCCTCATGATGATAAACCCTATATGCCCTAAACCCTTGTAACCCTACAAGGGCTTCCGATTCTGAACGAATGCCCTAAACCCTACACCCTCAACCCTAAACCCGGAACCCTAAACCCTAAACCCCAAACCCCAAACCCCAAACCCCAAGCCTTGGGATAGAGGGCTTTGTAAGGGCCAACGTTCCCTTCCACTCCTTGAAGCTTTGTAAGACCCTAAACCCTAAACCCTAAACCTTAAACCCTAAACCCTAAACCCTAAACCCTAAACCCTAAACCCTAAACCCTAAACCCTAAACCCTAAACCCTAAACCCTAAACCCTAAACCCCAAACCCCAAACCCCAAACCAATCCAAAGCCCCCCGAAAGCTTCTGAAACTAAGGACAACGAGTGGGGCTACTCCTGCCGCGTGGTGGACCTGATCAAGCAGCTCGGACTTTTGGGTCTGGGGTTTAGGGATTTGGGGTTTAGGGTTTAGGTTTTGGGGTTTAGGGTTTTAGGGTTTAGGGGTTTGGGGTGTAGGGTTTCGGGTTTAGGGTTTGGGGTTTGGGGTTTAGGGTTTTAGGGTTGCGGGTTTGGGGAGGAAGTCTCGGGTACTTCGGGTTTAGGGTTTAGGCTTTGTAGGGCTTAAGCAGGGGCAGCCGTTTGAGGTCTCGGTGTTGTAATGGGCAACAATCTTAGAGGAGTTGGGTTTTTCTTGGTGCCGGTAAAATTGGGGTTTCAGTGTCATCCCTCTTGAAGATTTAAATGGGGGTTTACGAAAATAGGGGACCCCTAATGTAGACCCCAAAATAGTAGGATCCCCTTATGATCAGGTCCCCAATCAGGTACCCCTATTATCTTAAACCCCCAAATAAAGACTGGCGGCTTACAGGGGATCAGGGCTTGTGTAGGGGGTTGTGTGTTCACGAGGGGGTTGAGTGTTGGGTGTACCTAGACGCCCTAGATACCCAAGCTCCTGAGGCCAAAAACCCAAAACCCCAGAAGGCCCAAAACTTCCCAAAAAGCCACAAGGCCCAACAAAAGCAACTAAACCCGAACCACTAAAGCCCCAGAAGCCCTCAAGCCCTATGAAGCCCTAAAGACCTTAACCCTACAGTGCTTGCGGCCCTTTTCGGGTTTAGGGTTTAGGGGTTTAGGGTTTAGGGTTTAGGGTTTAGGGTTTAGGGTTTAGGGTTTAGGGTTTAGGGTTTAGGGTTTAGGGTTTAGCCCGAAACCCGAGACTCTAAACCCTTCTCCGCAAAGCTGGCGAGGCACATGGCCGCGGAGGACGCCAAGGCGTAAGCCACAAGCAACTGTTGCTGGGCTTCTTGTGGATAGGGCTGCAATGTTACGATGAGGCGTCCTGGGTGTTTCGGGTTTAGGCTTCGGGTTCAGGGCCTCCCCCTTGGGGGGATACTTCGGTATGGAAAATGTATATATGCATGTATATATATATATATATATATATATCGGGGTATATATATATGTATATATATATATATGTATACTAGGGTGTTTTATAGGAAAGCCCGTGCATTGCCATGATGATCGCCGGGGTGATGGGGTATGGGTAGGGTACACATGCCCCGCCTGGGTACCCTAAATCAAGCCTGAGAAAGAATCCCTGCAACCCTAAACCCTACACCCTAGACCCTAATCTCTGGGGTTTTAGGGTTTTTAGTTTAGGCGTGGAGCTACGGTATTTTGTTTGGACAAATTTGGGAGGGAGGGAGGGAGGGGGAGGAATTTCTCCGGGGATTAGACCCTTAAACATCCCTAAACCCTAAACCCTAAACCTAGAGTCTGGGACTTTGATGTCGATGGTTTCACATGTATGGGTTTTCAAGACTCCAGGGGTTCGGGGTGTAGGGTTTTTGTGAACTAGGGCTCAGGGTTTAGGGTGTAGGGTTTCGGGTTTAGGGTTTTGGTTTTTTGGGGCTTCGGGCATGTTTGCGGGTTGCAGGGCTTGCAGGTCTCAGGGGCTCTTGGGCTGTGAGGGCTTGTTTAGGGCTTTACGGCTCTGGGGTGTCGGGGCTTTTTAGGATTTGAAAGCCTAAGCCCCTAAAAACACCCTAAAACCTAACCCTGAAACCCTAAAACCCTGAAACCCTGAAACCCTGAAACCCTAAACCCTAAACCCTAAACCCTACATGCCCTGAATCGCCAAGCCCTGGTCCTGAAGCCCCTTGAATTCCCTAGGTCTTCCCGTGGGCCCTCTCTCCCTTGTTGGGGTCTTCGCTTCGCTTATATACGACTACCCAATTCCTAGGTGAAAAAAGGGGGACCCTTAAAAGGGAACCCCTTCTTAACCCTCTTCTGGCTCTCTTAACAAGGGACCCTATTCAGAGGGTCTATATCCCCAAGGGTCCCCCTCATCCTATCCCCTACCAATACCAAAAAGGAAGCCCTTATCAATCCTACCCTAAGGGTCCATGTACCTTATTATTATACACTTGGGCCCCAAAGTGCCGAAATAAGAAGTACTGTACGGGCCAAGTCTTCCATATTTGGGTACATGGACCCTTAGGGCTAGGTTGCCGGGGATCCTCGTTCCCTAAGACTTTTTTCCGGCGGGCGTAAACCGTGCACTCGCCGGAGGACGTTTCTGGCTTCACCTAGCACTAGGACTTTGTCATAGGGGGGGGGGGATAACATTTTACATGTTTAAGGGTACTTAAGCAGGAATACAACTGTACCTTTTAGTACTATCGCAACAGTGGCTTAGTAATTTAGAAGAAGCCACCCGCACTGTTCCATCTTCTCCCTGGTTCTGAGTACTGTAGGGAATGGCGAAATTCCCTACATAATCCTTCAAGGGGAAATATAGGGGGATATTACCTCATTCTCATTCCCTCATTCCCTACTAAAGCAGGCACAACCAGGAAGCGTCTGGTCAAAGTAAGCAAGACAGGCAGATGAAATGAGCTAGCAACAGGTTAGTGAGGCTTGACGATAGGAAGGAGGCCACAACGGGATCACAAATACCTAAACCCTAAACCCTAAACCCCTCAACCCTAAACCCTACTGTCATGATGCCGGTCATGCCCCTTACGATTGAGGTGAGCCTGATAAGCGGCAGGTCGGTTGCAGTTGAAGCAAGACTGGAGGAGTCTGTAGAGACGTTGAGGCGTAGAGCACAGAGGACTTTGGCGGTTGGCAGGGGCAGACTGTTGGGATCTGGAGGCGTTCTAGATGGAGCAGCCACGCTTGAGGAAGCTGGCTTGCAAAGCGGCGATATGCTGACTTTGCAAGTTAGCAACATTCACATATGCGGCAACGAGCTTGCTTTTGCTGCAATTTTGGGCGACGGGTCAGTTGTGACCTGGGGCAATGCTCGCTTTGGTGGCGACAGCAGTGCTGTGCAAGGTCAGCTGAAGGATGTGCAACAGATCAAAGCGACCAGCGCGGCTTTTTCTGCAATTCTGGGCGATGGGTCTGTTGTGACCTGGGGCTTTGGCCAGGCTAGCTATGGCAGCATACGTCATGTGCGAGATCAACGGAAGGCCGTGCAGCAGATCCAAGCTAACAGCAGAGCTTTTGCTGCCATTCTGAAGGATGCTCCATCAGTGTTAGGGATCCTTTTTACTTTTTGGGTTATGGGCTTTCTTATATATGAACAAAAAGGATCCGTTTTTCTTCCTAGGGGAACAGTGATTAAGGATGGGTCGGTTGTGACTTGGGGCGTTTGTGAAGATGGTGGCAACAGCAGTGATGTGCAAGATCAGCTGAAGGATGTGCAGCAGATCCAAGCTACCAGCGCGGCTTTTGCTGCCATTCTGCGCGATAGGTCTGTTGTGACATGGGGTGATGCTGCCCGTGGTGGTGACAGCAGATCTGTGCAAGCCCAGCTGAGAGATGTGCAGCAGATCCAAGCTACCCACGATGCGTTTGCTGCCATTCTGAGTGATGGGTCTGTCGTGACCTGGGGCATGTCTACGCACGGTGGCGACAGCAGTGCTGTGCAACATCAGCTGAAGCATGTCCATAAGATCCAAGCTACCAGCGAGGCTTTCGGTGCCATTCTGAGTGATGGGTCTGTTGTGACCTGGGGCGTTCCTGACCATGGCGGCGACAGTGGCCCTGTGAAAGATCAGCTGAAGGACGTGCACCAGATCCAAGCCAGCTTCTGTGCTTTTGCTGCCATTCTGGGTGATGGGTCAGTTGTGACCTGGGGTGATGCTGCATGTGGTGGCGACAGCAGAGCTGTGCAATGCCAGCTGAAGGACGTACAGCAAATCCAAGGTAACTGGTCTGCTTTTGCTGCCATTCTGGAATCTGGGTGTGTTGTGGCCTGGGGAGATGTGGAGCGTGGTGGCGACAGCAGTGCTGTGCAAGGTCACTAGGATGCCCAGTACTGCCCTTCTTCCCTTTTCGGGGGCTCTAGGTTCCCCTTTACACCCCCTTTAAGCAAAAAAAGGGCACCCGTTTTAATCCTAGGTTACTGGGCAACCTAGGTCAGCTGAGGGACGTGAGACAGATCAAAGCTGCCGGCGAGGCGTTTGCTGCCATTCTGGGCGATGGGTCTGTGGTGACCTGGGGTGTTGCTGAAAGTGGCGGCGACAGCAGTGATGTGCAAGGTCAGATAAGGAGCTCATAGTGCGGCATTGGGCAGAAACGGCCCATGAGTTTATGAGGTTTAGGGTTTAGGTTTTTGGGTTTCCTAAATTAACCCATTCCCTAAGCCCCGATGCCTGTAGATTGGAAGAGCCTCACTTAGCAAAGCCTCCCCCCCCCTCCTGAAACACACACACACACACACACACACACACACACACACACACACACACACACACACACACACACACACACACACACACACACACACACACACACACACACACACACACACACACACACACACACACACACACAAGCACAATAAGAACAAACAAACATCAACACGGCAAAAACACAGCAAATATCTTCAGCTCAACAAAAAAGAAAGGAACATACAGAATAATCTCCATCTTCCTCATATAAGAAAGAATATACTGAATATGTTTTTTTTTGGGGGGGGGTTCTTGAGCAAATGCCCCTAAACACTAAACCCTAAACCCTAGACGCTTAACCCTTAACCCTAGCCCTAAACCCTAAACCCTAAACCCCAAACCCTAAACCCTAAACCCAATTTTGGGAGGTCCCCACCCAGACCCAGGTTTAACCTCACGGCCTCACGGCGAGTGCGGCGGTGAGCCACTCGTCTGGGTTCTGCTTGTCGACACAGGGACAGGTGCCGAACCAGAGGGCGAAGGGTCTTAGGGCGTTAAGGGTTCGGGTTTCGGGTTTAGGGTTTAGGGTTTAGGGTTTAGGGTTTGGGTTTAGGATTTTGGATTTAGGGTTTGGGGTTTAGGGGAGCCTTGTGGGGGTCTGGTTCATGAGGAAGCATACCGTAGAGCTGACAAATTCAGGGGCCCGAATAGCAAAAACCAGCTGGGTTCTTGCACGTCATAGGGTTTAGGGTTTAGGTTGGGATGGTCTCCCCTATACTAATAGCCCTCAATAGGGATTATACTAGGGGTACCATAGTCCCTGGTAAGGATTGTAATTTTCAGGGGGACATCCCAAGGTTCAGGGTTTAGGGTTTAGGGTTTAGGGTTTAGGGCCAAAGTCTACTGTAGCCCTTTGCGCCATGCAGAGCTCTCAGGACCAATTGCAGCGGATCCGGGCGACACACCTGCGCACATGTTTTTTTTCTCCAAAGTAGGGTCCCTTTGGCCTTGTATGAAGGCCCTAAAGCCTAAACCCTGAACCCCAAACCCAAAACCCCAAACCCTAAACCCTAAACCCTAAACCCCAAACCCTAAACCCTAAACCCTAAACCCCAAACCCGAAACCCTAAACCCTAAACCCTGAACCCTGAGCCCTAAGTGTTTTTGAGCAGCCCAGACACAAAAAATGCAGATCTTGACCTTCAACGCCGGACCTCAATCCTCAAGGGTTTCGGGTTTAGGGTTCAGGGCTTAGGGTTTAGGGTCTAGGGTTTAGGGTTTAAAGGTTAAGGTTTAGGGTTTAGGGCTACTAAACGACTTGCATTCCTGAACCCGAAGGCCCTCAAACCTCCAACCTTCAATCCCTCACCCCTAAACCCTAAACCCTAAACCCTCAACCCTAAACCCTACACCCTCGACCCTAAACCCTAAACCCTCGACCCTAAACCCTAAACCCTAAACCCTAAACCCTAAACCCTAAACTCCTCCCCCTAGTGTTTCCTGCTCCCCCGTGCGCCAGCCGAGGCTGACTGACAGCTTTTTCTTCATGCTTCGCTGATCTACCCCCATGGCTACACGACAATCTTAGGGTTT